GGGCCTGATCCTTCCCCGCCAAATATTCCTGGATGCTCTCGCTGAAACGCTGCAGGGCTGGGGGAAAAAATCACCAAAAATTAATGAGAAATTTCTGGAATTTTGGGGGAATTTTTGGGGATTTTTAATGGATTTTTTGGGATTTTTTGGGGATTTTTTGGGGATTTTTTGGGGATTTTTTGGGGAATTTTTGAGAATTTTTGGGGGGATTTTTGGCAGGTTTTTTTGAAATTTGGGGGAATTTTTAGGGGGATTTTTTTTTATATTTGGGGGATTTTTTTAAAGGAATTTTTGGGATTTTTGGGGATTTTCTGGGGATTTTTGGGCCGCTTTTTGCTGACGTCAGCATTCATTTCCATGCGATTTTTTTGCCGATTTTTGGGACAATTCTGGGACAATTTTGGGGTAAATTTCGTGATTTTTGGGCTGATTTTTTGGTGATTTTTGGGTGATTTTTGGGATGATTTTTGGGTGATTTTTTGAGAAACTTTTTGGTATTTTTGAGATGATTTTTGGGCGATTTTTCCGACTTTTTTGCTCCCCTCAGCATTATTTTCAATGCGATTTTTTTGCCGATTTTTGTGAATTTCGGGAAAATTTCTGGGGTTGTTTTTGGGACAATTTGGGGGTGAATTTTGTAATTTTTAGGTGATTTTTTGGTGATTTTTGGGTTGATTTTTTGGTGATTTTTGGGTGATTTTTTGGTGATTTTTGGGGCGATTTTTTGCTGACGTCAGCATTATTTTCCAACGCGATTTTTTTTGCCGATTTTTGTGAATTTTCTGGGGTTGTTTTTGGGGTGAATTTTGTGATTTTTGGGGTCACTCACCCTCTGGGGAGGTGTGTGAATCAAAGCCCTGTAAAAACACGTGGTCTGGGGGTACAGGGCCAGCACCAGCTGCTCTTTGTGGAACAGAGCCTCGGGATCCGTCTCGGGGTTGGTTTTCCATTGGGGCAGGGGGATGATCCTGCGACGGCTCAGGGTGTGGCGCCTGCAAAATGGGCACAAAAATCAGAATTTTGGGGAAAAAAAGGATGAGAAATGAGGATTTGGGGGGAATTGTGAAGGTTTGAGAAAGAAAACAGAAAATTTTGGGGAAAAAATGGGATTTTTAAGGGGATTTTTGGGGTTTTTTGGGGATTTTTTATGATTTTTCAAAGAATTTTTAAGTGGAATTTGAAGGATTTTTTAAAAGAATTTTTGGGATTTTTTGGGATTTTTAAGAGGATTTTTTGGGATTTTTTTGAGAATTTTTGGAGATTTTTTAGAGAATTTTTTGGGATTTTTTTTGATTTTTAAGGGGATTTTTTAGAGAATTTTTGGGATTTTTAAAGAGATTTTTTGAGATTTTTTTAGAGGATTTTTGGAGAATTTTTAGGGAATTTTTGGGGATTTTTAAGGGGATTTTTGTGGATTTTTTGGGATTTTTAAGAGGATTTTTTGGGATTTTTAAGGGAATTTTTGGGGATTTTTTAGAGAATTTTTAGGGAATATTTGGGGGATTTTTTTAGGATTTTTTAGAGGATTTTTTGGGATTTTTTAGAGGATTTTTGGAGATTTTTTAGACAATTTTTAGAGAATTTTTTGGGATTTTTAAGGGAATTTTTGGGATTTTTTAAGAGGATTTTTTGGGGATTTTTACACAATTTTTTAGAGAATTTTGGGGATTTTTTTGAGATTTTTTTGGGGATTTTTTGGGGGGATTTTTGAGGAGGATTTGGGGAATTTTGCAGGGGGATGATCCTGCGACGGCTCAGGGTGTGGCGCCTGCAAAATGGGCACAAAAATCAGAATTTTGGGGAAA